TATCTCTGCCGTGGCTTCATCTTATTCTTCTTCTCCTTCAGATTCTTTTTCTCATCCCGCTGCTACTCTACAAATATATACCTATTAACCACCGCACCCGTCTCCACCAGCCCCCAATGTCCCAAACTCCGTGCTCGTCTGCTTGCCACGCACGACGCCTGCCCCCCCGTCTGTATCTTTTTTTGTTGATGAAATCGTTGCTCCCCCCCCTCAGCTATCATTGTTTTTCTGTTGTTTTACAAAGTTGTGTTTGTGGGGGCGGTAATAATCGTATTTTTTGTTTCCCCCCCCACCCCCCCCTATGATGAATATAACGCAAAGGAGGAGGGGGAGGAGGAGGAGGAGGAGGAGGAGGTGGTGGTGGTGGAGGAGGAGGAGGAGGAGAAGGAGGAGGAGGAGGAAGGTAGAGATGGAGAAATAGGTGATGATGACGATAGAGATGATGACGATAGAGATGATGATGATAGAGATGATGATGATGGATTTGATGACTCAATACACATTTACATGATGAGGCTGAGATTGACCATGACGACACTGGTGAAGGTATACTGGAGCGAACTTTCGCCATCGAAGCGCGAGACGAGTATGACAACAAGAGCAGCAAGGGAGGAGACAGTTGGGACATTAGCTTGGAGCACAAGGAGACGAAGGAGAGAGTCGAGGTAGCTGTGGCAGAGGAGCAAGGCGGCACATACAAGTGTAGCTACCAGGTGAATCTCCTGAAACTTCATCTCCTCCTGACCTCCACAAGGTAACAAGGGCAGGGGAGTTTTCCCTTGCCGTCACTCTCAACTCAGAGCAAGTATGCGAGAGGTAAGCGAAGGCTCTACATGTGCATTTTTTCAAGAGAAAGAACTCTTCCTGTCAGTCCGTACGTCTTCAAGATCAGCCCGGACCCTGCTGAGCTTGTCAGACTCCGTCACTTGGAGCAGCAGAGCCGCATCGAACGCGAGAGGAAGGGATGCTCTTGCGCAAGCGTCGACCTGAGCTGTGCTTTCTGCAGGCGGGTGCAGGAGAGGAGGAAGGCGGAAGAGAGGAGGAAGATGGAGGGACAAGGTAAGGAGGGGGGGGAGAGAAGAGGCCTGTTTGCTATGACTTCTGTTGGCGGCAGCTGCGCAAAGGAAGGAGAAGGAGGAGGAGAAGCTTCGGATCCACGAGAAGCTGGTGGAGGAGAGGTGCGAGGGAGCCTGTTGGTGCCCTGTCTGACATGAGGGCCTGCGAAGGAGGAGCAAGGAGGAGGAGCTCAAGGCGCGGAGAGAAAGCGAGGCACACTTTGCTTTCATTGCAGACTCGACGGTGAGAACTTGACAGGAAAAGGCGAGGAGCGAGGAGAAGAGATTGAAGATTATGGAAAAGCTGAGACGCGAGGAGGAAGCGAGGAGGTGAAAACTCGATCGCCTCCTTTCTTTATCCCTCTCGCCTCACTGCTTGCTCTCAGACGTGCCCTCGCGCTCGAGGAGGAGAAGAGAAGTCTGACGCTGCAGAAGCTTCAGGTCCTCGAGGAGAAGCGGTCAGTCTCACTTCTTGCACCACTGAGATCCTTCGTCCTGGAGCTCATGGTGACGATTTGCAGGGCGCGGCCAGGATCCGCTCGCAGAAGCGCAGGTGGAGGTTTTACCTTGTCGTTCAGTCGGACGGGGAGCGAGGCTCGGTGAGAGAGCGACAGTTGCTGCGGAGGGACAACGAGACGGCTACATGAAGCGGTCGGAGGACTCAAAAGGTTTGTAGGAGCAGCGATGAAGGCGATGTGATGAAGAGGGTCACTCGTAGTTGAAACATGTTCATGCCATCATTAGTCAGCTCTGATATCTGCATCTTCTCTCCCTTCTCTCCACCTCGCATCGCTCTCGCTACTGCCATTCCATTTCGCTCTGTATCCTAAAAATTGCACTTTATCGGGCAGGCGTATCGTTGTCGTACCCACCCTTTCCTCCATGGAGATTGGGGGTACTAAATATTCAAGTAGAGCATATTGAATTTGAAATAATGCAATAACTTTTGAAAATTGGTATTTAGGTGAATGTGGTAGCTGGTGAATAGTAGACCGAGAAAGGGGGGTGGGGGTTATCAGGTTTCGGAGGAGGGTGGGAGCCGAGGGGGTAGCTAGAAGAATAGGGGTGGGGCTGGGAATACAAGGGGTAGTTGAATTTGTTGGAATGAGAAGATCCTCTGGGAAATGGACGGGTAGTTTACGGTCGAAGAGGTGGTGGGTAGTGAATAAAGGGTGGAGGCATAAAGGAGGGTGAATCGCGAAAGGCAGAAAGTCTTCCTAGTGAAGGAATTAGTCCAGTCCAAGGGCAGAAGCCTGGGGTATAGTGTAGAGGAACAGGGGGTGGGCTCATTTTGCGTCAGACTCGAGTGGGTGGGGGTACACGTTAGGAGTAACTGCAAGGGGGGAGGTAGAATATAAGGGGTGGGTGGTTTAATGTGAGTAATATCCACGGGTACTGTAGTAATGAATCGAAAAGGATTCCCGAGGTAGGTGCTGCCCTTGCTAGGGTAGGGTTGAAATTGTGTTGGATGATGAGGGGTAGGGTCCATGTCATCGGATGCCCAAGGGGGTATTCATCTGATTGACTTTTGGGGGGTGGTTGGTGCTGAGTTTCAAGTTGCTGCAATTGAAGGGTACTTCTCGTGGGGGGTGGTCATAATCACTACCCCTACTAACCAAAGAAAATGTCTGATATATGTACCGGTGTTCCGTCCTCAATCGTCAAACTGGGTCAGAGGGGGTAATGCTATGGGGTCAAAACTGGTGGGTGGGGAGCAGTCCGGGCGGGGTAAAAGGAATCCTTACTATGGGTGGGGTCCATAATTGTGAGGGGGTGGTATGGGAGAGACTGGTGGGGTAGGCAGGGAGTGAGGGGTGGGTTAAGTCTACTCGATTTGTGGGGTGGGTAGGGGTGGTCCGTTGGATAATCCAGTTCCTCTGATGCTGCCGCTGGCGTCGACAAAATGAGAGTAGGAAGGAATGAGAGGAGAAGAGGAATGAGAGGAGAGGAGCAAAACATAGACGATGGGAGAAGATTTGAGATTAAACCAGAAGAGAAGATAAGAGAAGAGAAGAGATAGTGAGAGAAAAGAATAGAAGAAAATTAAGATCGTTCGACACTCGTCGGGATCAATGAAGATAAGAAGATGACAAGAGAGAAGTTGATGGGAAAAGGCCAGGCCAGGACTTGACAGGACAGAAAAGTTTGAGCTATCAGAATATCGAATGCAGCAGAAGATGATGAAAGCAGAAGTAAGCGAGCAAGGAGTGAGCTGGATGTTTTGTGAAATCAAGGATCAGATCCGCACGGAGCAAAAAGCGGTCGATGATAGACACCCACATCAGGTCAGATAGAGAGTGTAATTATTATGTGATGCTCAAGGCTAGGATCGCAATCAGATTTATGAAGTTGAGGTGTTACTGAAAGATTTCCTTGCGATTCAGGATGTTTCTGTGCCGTCATAGGTGCAGCATGCCACTTACTCGCGGATAGCGTTTAAATGCGTTTGGGTTGAAACGAAGACCTCGTCTCCAGTTCGCCATTTTGCATTTTTTCTATTTCGTTCGCAGGTATGAATACTAAGTCTAGTCCTTCAATCGTTGGAACTGTAACCTTGTGTGCTGAAGTTTTCTCCATTTCTAGGTTTACATAAATTAAGAAATGAAGCTTTCAGTGAGAAGATTATTTTTCCTTGTAACTATTGGGATTGCTGGCCATCAGCGTGTTGATGCAGGTAATCAAGAGATGGGAAGGTTATGTCTGTAAATATGTTCGCAGGGAATGGTGACATAATGGCGAGTAGCGATTTCAATTGGGATGCTGAAGATTGGGAGGTGAAACAGCGCCATTCCTTGAGCTTTCACATTGATCACGTTCGATTGTAGCTGTTTGGTCCGGGGAAGTTGAAAGTTTACGATAGGGGGGGGATGCTCTACGCATCGGTAACCAGTCACTTGATTTGATTGTTGATTCCCGACAGTTGTTCGAATAGGACCAAGGGAAGACAGTCTGGTACTTCGCTGCACCAGCGAAGTTGGATTCATGTAGAGTGCAAAGACTATGACTTACTGATTCCTCAGATTCCTTGGGGAGAAAGCTTTTGCCCACAACGGCAAGCTCCGATTCCGACTTGGTCATTCGGAGTAAGTCCTAAAGAAACAACTTTCAGAAATATCTGATTTGAATCAGGTACATGTCGAACGGGAAAGACATGATAAAAGATTGGGACGTCATTCTTGAGAGCAAAGAGTGGAAACTTCGTAAGATTCTACATACTTTGTTTTGCACTGAATTCTTTTGCCATGGACGTGATTCATTGTTTGTCAGGAATTGGTGTCCGCAACCTCATACCCCCCTGGGTGGGTGCAACCGACAACGACCTTTCCTTGAACGAGAAAAGCTGGACAGTGGTCAAAGGGCAAGGGCACGGGCACTCTCCGACAACGATCCAGATGCTTCGTTTATTGTCCAGCCTATCTGCCGTAAGTCTATGCGCCTCAATGCTGGACAAGTTTGGCTGAACTGACTTGCACATTAGATATACATCCGTGGGGGATACTATGATGGCCATGAAGAAACATGGCTTGACTCAGTATCTTTGATTGAGGGCGATCATCACGAGGAAACTATGCAAAGTATCATTTGATGACCCGCGGTGTTGGTTTTGACGATTTGTCCCAAGGAAAAATTCAGAAGCATCATCATGAACCATTGCGGAAGAAAAAGGAACAAGAGAAGAAGTGATGATGACTTTTCCAGAACAAGTTGTTGAACTGATCCTATTTCAGGAAGCGTGAGCAAGAGGAAATTGAGATGCTTGCGGCTGCTGGGCAACTCAACAACGCACAAGCTGCTCTTAATCAGAACAATGCTCGTCCCCCTTCAACCAACTCTCAGTTGGACAGGCAAAGCAGTGAAGAACTGAAACGCAGACAGGAGGAAGAGGAAAGGAAGACAAAGGAAGAGGAGGAGCGGTTGAATGCTCAAAGAGCGCAGGATGAGATGGAATCGAGACGAAAAGAGGAAGAGCTCAAAGAGCTTGAAAAGCAAAAAGCTGAAATGGAAGCGAAATCTCACATTGAACAATTGTTGAAGCAAGAGGCAGAAACAGGTGGCGGAGATCGGCTAAACTCTGGGATTTCGGAGCAAATTAAACAGGAAGATGAAAGGATCCTTGAAGAGCACTTGAAGCGCGAACAAGGAATTTCCAACAGCATCGATCCCAATGAATTGAAAAGAGCAGCTAAGGCGGCCCCACGGCTTGTCCCTTTGCAGGATGATAACATCGTGCCCGACAACGAGTTTGCGCAAGTAGAAGAGCCTGCCGCTCCTACTGTGACTGGAATTTCTTCGCTCCAAGACCAGACATCCCCTGAGGATTTGGCTGGACAAATTGACAAGGAGCACAGCCAAAGCCGAATGGGAGCACAACAGGATAGGTTGAGAGAGGAAGAAACTCGTAGGATGGAGGAAGAGGAGGCTCGCAAGAAACAGGAGGAGGCTGCTCGGAAGAAGCAGGAGGAGGAAGAGGCTGCTCGGAAGAAGCAGGAGGAGGAGGAGGCTGCTCGGAAGAAGCAGGAGGAGGAGGAGGCTGCTCGGAAGAAGCAGGAGGAGGAGGAGGCTGCTCGGAAGAAGCAGGAGGAGGAGGAGGCTCGCAGGAGACAAGAGGAGGAGGAAGCTGCCCGAAAGAAGCAGGAGGAAGAAGCTAGAAATCGGATGATTGCAGAACAGATTCGGCGTCAAAAGGAGATGGAAGAGATCGAGGAAATCCGAAAGCGTAAGCAGTTGAGACATCACTGCGTCGTGTAGTGACGTTGAGACCATAGGTGCTCAAGCACAGGAGGAACTCCGTGAAAACACGAGTGGAGATGCAGAGAATTCTGATCAAGATTTCATTGCGGATCAAGATTTTGACAGAACGGTGGATAATTCCAAGAAGGAGGAGCAAAAACGGTGATCATGATTGTTGGTGACAACCAGGACACTTGTACTGAGACGCAGGATCAATGCAGGGGTGAATCTCGCTTTGAGAGGCTCAGATCAAGGTTCCTCAAGGGTGACAAGGAAGCCAAGTCAAACAAGGTATTCCAGGGAAAATGCCTTGCTCCCTATCTAAACATGTTTGAAGGAAATGGATGGGGAAGACCTTCCCTGAGCTCTTGGTGATGACTTGTCTTCCGAACCAGAGGTGTTACCTTGATGCCATGAAGCGGAACAAGCTGGTGAAGGGGTGAAGGACTAAGTGCGAGGCGCACAAAGCTTGCATAATATCTGCAACAAGTTCGGGGCCTTATTTCGGGGAAACCGTAAGTTCATCGTCTGAAACGAGGGGGGCGATGGCCAGACCGCCGGATGCTCCAACAGCTTGGTTTCTGCGCTCAAACATGTGAATAGACCGGGAGGAATTGGCTACTTGACTGCCTTCCTGGCGGTTACAGATCAACCGTACATCCTAACAATAAACTACATAAACATCACGAACTAATGTGATCGAGCGTTGTGAGCTCGAGAAATTCCAACCGTCACAGGGAGAACTGCGGGCTCAATAAACTCGATGAGCTGAGTAAACTCCATAAGCTAAGTCCGATATCAGAGTACGTTGCATTGCAGTGAAGAATTCACAGGGACCGTGACTACCGTCCAGGTTGGTCACATGGCACTACCCTCTTTGATGGGGTCCTTCAAGGCTATAGAGGAGGGGTGATCGATAGTAAGGGTCTGGTACCTGGTCAGTTCATGGAACGATTGGATAACAAATTTCATCTTAGGTACAAATTTTTCAAAAAAAGAATTGGAGTACCCACCTTATAATGATGAATAAGATGTCAAATTGTATGGTGGGGTCAAAAAAACAAAACATCGATCGCCCACTCATGCGGGTGTGAGCTTTGACCACTGGACAGGAAAGGGGCGGAGGGGGAGAAGGGGGAGGAGAACAGCTAGGAGGAGGAATGAAACCCGATGATGGAGAAAACATTGAAGCAGAGGAAGAAGAATGTAGTGTTGATGAACTGAGAAGTAACATCATCAAGTGCACTGGAAAGGAGGCAAGGTGGAGGGCAGGGAACAAGAAATCGTGAAGTCGAAAGTATTGGAGAGCATGTTTCCTCCCTCCTGACAAACTTGCTCTTACAGGACCAATGTACACTTCGATGCCATTCAGCAACGTCATCTTCTTCATCCTGCTCTTGTCTCTGCTGTGCCCCCCGTCAGAAGCCAGACAGTGCATTCCAGCTCCTGCAAACAACACGAATACCTCAAGCGTCACCCCCGTACTGCATCATCGGCTTCCTTGCACAAGTGCTGATCGTTTCTTGTCAGTCGCCAAGCCCGAGGAATGAAACGAGCGTGTTCAACACAACAACATCGTCAGAGCACCCCAAGTTCACCCTCCCCGCTGTGATCATCCCAGTAGTGACCCCCCATCCCATCTCGTCGAAACTGGTCGCCTCTTCCTGCCTCCTGGCCTCCTCCTTGACTGTGAGGGCAGCAAACGAGCGCAAACTCCATCACATCGGACCTGAGCTACATCAACCAAAGCTTCGTCAACGCAACCCATCAGAATTTGTAATGTGTCGATACCTCCCTCTCCCCCCTCCTCTCCCTCTCCCTCTCCCTCTCCCTCTCCCTCCTCTTGCTCGCTCGGCTAGTCTGACACCCTTGCAGCTTCCCCTCAGTTCAGCTGCCTCGTTCCCTTGAGCTCTTCATCGCTACATTGCTCGTCATTGTGGGCTCAGTCACATGTAACACGTTTGACGTCACACAAACGAGATGATTGAGAGGTCACAGGTTTCCTCGGCTTCATGTACGCGAAGCTGCTGTTTACCATCCTCTCCTTCATGGCAGGAGTGATCATCTCCATGTCATCTCTTCCCTTGTCGTGCACTCGTCCCTGACCACCGTCATGCAGGTATCCCATCGATGTCTTGATGGGTAACATACTGTGCGGGAAGTTCTACTGTGTAAGGGGAGAGGCAGGGGAGAGTTCTCTCAACTCAGTCCCGCTGGTGCGCAGGTGGAAGGACAGGCAACAAATCAGTTCTGCGGATGGGCCATGGTAAGAGAGACGAGAAGGGAGGAGTCGGATAGGGAGAGCACAGGAGAGGGAAGGGGCGGAGAGAAGAGAGGCATTGAGGAGAAGAGGAGAGGAGAGGAGGAAGAGAAGAGGCAAGGAGGAAGTGAGGAGGAGGAGAAGAGGAGGAGAGATCGAATTCTTGTCATATGTCAAGCAGGTTGCTGGGCTGTTCTTCGGCCTGTTCGCCGCGAGCTCAGTGAGATATTCAAGCAGCTTGTCAAACTTTCTTCTCAGCTGCCCCAGGCATCCAAGATGTTCGACCTCGGTCTCCTAACTCTCGGCGCCTCTGTCGCAATCATCCCAGCCCTGATCCTGCAGCCTGCCATTGACTCTGTGATGTCAAACTTTGACGCCCCTGCCCGATGACAGCGCTGATGGTTTCCTGCAGGCCATGTCAAGATGGCCAGATTGGACTCACTACATCCACTACATCGTCTTCGCCGGCGTCGGAGCCCTGGTGAGCCTCCGAGCGATCGATCGTTTGAAACCTCATCGTCCTCGTCCTCGTCCTCGTCCTCGCCCTCGCCCTCGCCCTCGCCCTCGTCCTCGTCCTCTCGTTCTACTACATTGACTTGTTCATGGCGCGATTGTACATGATCGGGTGTTGACCTCCTGCGTCTCGCAGGCGGCCAAGAGCAAGCCCGATCCCTTCATCATATGCATGACGTCTGTCATCGGGGCCCTTCTGATCAGTGAGGCAGTTTGGCTAGAAGTTTGACCAGCTGACCGTCTTGTCCCGTCAGCGATCTCCTCCTCCTACTACATGGACGGAGGGCTTTCACCATCCAACATCTCTAGGGGGTGAGATGAAGAGGGAGGGAGAGGGAGGAACAAGTGTGGAGAGCTGCGGAAGAGGGAGAAGTGCTCGGGAGGTGAAGGGGAGAGGAGAGGAGGGGGAGAGGGAGAGGAGGGGAGAGGCGAGGAGGGGAAAGGAGAGGGAGGGGAGGGGAGGGGAGGAGGGAGGAGGGAGGACGAC